TTAACTTCTTTTTTTATTATTATTATTATTATTATTATTATTATTATTATTATTATTATTATTATTATTATTATTATTATTATTATTATTATTATTATTATTATTATTATTATAACTTTTTATTTTTTTTTGGTGCATGAAATGGAGGCCACGCATAGGACACACCAACCCTATCATGGTGTACCAAACGCTCGCCCCCGGTGGAGGGCTCCCAACCTTTGAAGACCATCCGGATCCTTTGCCACCAATGAAGCCAATTAATCTGCCACAAAATTTGTCTCTCGATAACTATGATTAATCACCACTGCCCACGGCCGACACAACACCTCCTTTATTTCCTTCAATATTCCACCATGCCGCCCGTCGTGAGGTGTTGTATCATCTCGATGATACTCTTATTATCGACTTCAACTTGAACCTTACGGGCTCCGATATCACAAGCCAACACTAGGCCCTGAAAAAAAAAAACCAGAGTTCCGCTCCAACTATCGAACAGAACCCGATATTCATCAAGCAGTCGTGCACCCAGTTACCATGGTGATCCCGAATAACGCTGCCAGCGCTAGCCATCCCCGTCGTCGGATAAAAAACTTCCATCCGTATTTACTTTCAACTCCTTCTCCGTTGGGCCCGACCACGAAATCCAACGTAGCTCTCGGGCACCAGTCGCTCCAATTTCTCAACCACCAGCCGACGCACATTTCACCATAAAGAAAACACCTCAACAATACATCGTGACAAGGTAACGCCGAACTCTTGAAATATTTTAAGATTCCTCCGCATCCATAGTCGCCATGCTGTAAGTCCTAATACTGATTCCCAATTCTCCATCGCCCTGCTTAAAGTGCCAGTCAGATTCTCGAGGAACCATCCTCTAATATCAAGGGCGAAGAAAGCACTCCATTGATCTCGGGCCTTTGGAAAGAATATCCATACTAAATGACTTTACAATGGTCCTAGGGTTCATATCCTAGGTGATAATATTAATTAATTCTTGAATTACAAAACGATTTGATACTAAACTTATATTTTTGTGAATGAGTGTGTGAACTAACTCATAACTGCATTCATAATTTCAGCTCACACAATAATTTCATTTTGATGTCATGCAACTATTACTTATTTTTTTATTGTACAAAACACGTGACTTGTCACTTATATACTTCAATCTTATATTTATAGTAACACTTTTACGACTCATATTATATTAACTACACAATCTCTATTAACAAAATTTGATAAATAGTACTATAAAATGGTACATTAAAATGTAAGAAATATGACTATGTATTAAAAACATAAAATATTACATATTTTTTGAAAAAAAAAAATTATGAAAAAAAAAATTACAATATTTGTATGAAATCTTTTTGGCAGTCAAAAGCAGCTACAGTAATAGTGGACTTCACCGACCCTTCAACAGTGTACGATAATGTCAAACAGGTTTTAATTATTTCTGACCACATTTTTTTTCCAGAGCCTTAAAAAAAAGGAACACAGTGCTTATAAATTATTTTATTTTCTTAACCAAGATTTATTAATTAAATCTTGATTAAACAATAATAATAAGGCTAACAGCTTTTGGAATGAGGAGCGTTGTCTACGTGGCCCAGAATTAAAAATGGAGACAGTATCTGAAAAAATATCAGCATTTTGTGAGCAACAAGGTGAGATTTTTCAAAATTAAAATTTATTTATTGGCCACAATTTTTAAACCTGATATTGCTTAGTACAAGATTAAACATTTAGTCAACCATACATTTTCAACACCAACTTAAAATGTCATTGTCTAAAATAAGTATGAGAGGTCGACTCGCTTAATTGTTCGGTTATTTTACACGAGCATTTGTTTGTTGCTCCATTATTGTTATTTTTCTAACTAATTTGTTATGATAATGTTTAGTAATTGATAATCAGGGATGTTTAGTAGCACCAACTCTTTCAATTGGATTAATACTCCTTTCAACGAGCTGCAATTTCAGCATCTTCTCACTACAACAATGTGGAGATAGTTGAATCAAGAGCTTTTGCGGGGGTAATTATGTCATTTCTCGCTCTTATTTGCCCTTACAATTCATGCATGAATTTTATTATTAACTATTAGGAATCTACTCGTCTTATTAGATGATTAAGACGAGTTAACGAGTTTGATATTAATGAGTCGAGTCGAGTCGAGCATAACTCGAGTGAGTTGAGTTGAGCATAGCTCGAATGTCATTTCCTTCAGTTAGTTAGACTATCAAAGTAATATATAACCAGTACCAATTTTGTGTACTACTTTAATGGTGTTATTAATGTTTAATAAACTTGGCTCGACAAGAACATTTCAGGGCCACATATTTAATGTAGCCGAGAAAAAATAATGATAATATTATATGCACCGACAGTACATATAGTAGTCTTGCCGACAAAAGAATGACTATTACTACTTACTATATATATAGTGCTAATATATGCGAAAAAAAAAAGGAACAATAGTGACAAGAAATGAACAAAACTGCATGAATACAAGAAAAAGGCTCCAAATTCAGTGGAAATTTTCTGATGCTAAAGAAGTGTGATAATTGGAATTAATGTAATAATATAATTTAGTAAAATACATAGTAATAATATTTTTTTTTAGAGACATAAGTAAAACTAGAAGCTTCTATGACTTCACTTCGCTTTGCTTCGTTCGTTGGATCGACAAAGTTGACCTCGACTTCGACTTCTAACTAAAAGCGAACAGCCGGCAAGCAAATAGAGCAAAACCCTCCTCTTTCCGTCCGCTCTTACCGAAGTGAGCGAATTGCATGTAGAGAGATACGGGCTTTCAGCCCTATAGTTCTTCGTGCTTTCGCTTTAGAACAATAGCATGTTGCCTTGTACAAAATTTGCTCCAAGATCCTTGCTAGGCGAAAGGGATCAATACCAGAGTAGGAGGATTGGCTTCAGTCCGCTGGGGACCTTGAGCCGGGCTCAGTTGATCCACTTTTTTGTGTTCGTGCTAGGGGGCCGAGAATAATTAATATAATTTTGCAGAATTGTGTCCATAGAGCAGTAACTACTGCAATTCTTGTTTAAAAATTTCTATCCAATCACAAACATGCATAAAATTTATACCCGAATTTTATAAATGCTGCTTAACGATTAACCAATCATACTTCGACAAAAACATATATTTACAGTATAAAACTTTAAAGTATGACATTTGAATATAAAAATATGTACATGTATTGAAATAGTATGGTTAGATAGCCTTAAAAAAAAAAAAAAAAAAATGTAAACCATCACAGTATGAAGGAAACATGAGTCCAAAACCACTGTTCTAAAACAAGAAAGTCTAAACCTCATGAATCATCCTTTTCATTTTCCATCAAAAAAATGACCAATGAAAGTTTCATGTCAACTTTTCATTTGGCCCACCTAAAAGCTGGATCAGGCTGTAAATATTGGCCCTTAAAAAATAAACATTGAAACAAAATTATTCATTCTCACACAAGGCTGGTCTAGAAAATCTCTGACCATAAATTTCAAGCACCCTTTTGGGCCCCAATATAACAACAACCCAAAACCCTACACCCACCAACCCAGATTTTGGTGTGTACCAAAACCATTTGCAGAGCAGCATTTGCAGACTAGACTAATATGCACATGCAAATAGCACTCCAGTGAACTCAGAGTAATTTTACTTGTAGGAAGATAATTAAATAATGGGCCTCTCGGTTTCAATGAACATGTTATATTTCAGTCTCCGACTCTCCTTAAGACCGCGATTCAAACGGTCTTAATTTTAACATGGGTTTCTTGTACTAACGATTCGAATCTGTCCCATAGATTAAACCACACGGTAGAGATATTCTACATGTCGAAGAACCCCCACTTTAATTTCAATCTATTTTTTTTTTTTTCAGGTTTACACCCTTAAACATGATGTGATAGGAGTGCACTCACTCATGCCGGGGCTAATTCTTGTGCGTCTAAAGGAGACTGGAAAATAACAGCCCCCTTCGCGCTATTTATTCTAGAACTTTGTATTGAACATTATTGACAAAGAATTGTCCCTTTTTGCAGAATCTGGTGTACGGTCTGGAGAAGTTCAAGAAGATGCCGTGCTAAACAATGAACTTGATATTGCGCTTGAATTATGATTTCTGTTTATGATGAGCATACCCCATTTTCATCCAAAAAACACAAGGGGAAAAATCTAGGTAGAGAGACCTTGGGACAGAAAAAAAATGATACATTTAGAAGTCTTTCAATAAATCATGTATCAGTTCAATAAAATGGTGTGCACTTTTAAGTCTTTAACATTCTGTTCAAGGTGTATGGTAAAAAATAAAAATAAAAATAAAAAAAAATAAATGAGAAGGGAAAGCAACCACCAAGTTCAGCTCAATAAAAAACAACAAAACAAAAAATCTCGTAACCTGTTCTGAGCGCCCCGTTGGCTCTTGTTTTGCTTTAAGAATTTCACTCTCGGATGGACCTTCTACATACTTAAAATATAAATGAGGCTCTTGTAACACTTTAAGGGGTTAAATCCCATGGGCTTCTACTGTAATTTTTCCTGCGGTTTGTTTCATAAATCATTCAGTAGAAAGAAGAGAGCATAACCTCTATTCTTCAGACAAAAACTAACTTTAGTTCTTGGTGGGTTCTCAAGGTCCATGTATCTAAAAGGCACAATTGCTACATTAATATTATATAGAATAACCTTACTACTGAATGCATAGATTATTATTTTGTTGCTAATTTTCTTTTTAGCTCTTTTCTGATTGGGGATTGGGTTGGATGTTTTGGTTGTTTAGCCAAATGTATCGTGATTATTCACGACCAATAAAAAACAAAAATCTAATAACTCCAAGACCACGTCTTTTGTGCCATTATGAGAAGTTCAAGAAATATGCAACACAAAAGTTAAATACAATCTTATGGAAAAGGTCAGAAGGCATAGATAATGACTTAGTGAGATGAATAATTATCTGAGATTTATCACAAGCGTCAGGGAAAGCCCACCTCTAGAATTTGTTGGCAATTGCAGCTATCCATGCTTTGTCTTTATCAGTATATGCATAATCCATGCTTGAAGCCAACAGGACAAAACCCTTGCTGTTGACTGTTTGACTTGAAGCATCCAGAATAGGTTGCACGAGGAAGGACTGAATCCCGGTTGGAACCATCTCCTTCAACTCAGAATCTAACAATATTCATAAATTTCTATAAGTAGCAATTATCCCAAATACAAAACATATTGAGATTGTATTTTTCTGAAGGCTAAAATAATTTGAAGCATTAAATACAAATGAGTTAGTCATAGAATTTCTCCTGGATTTGACGTATCAAACTAAAAGGCACATCAAGTAGAAGGTGGAAGGAAACTGAATGAAAATCTGCACAACAGACTATTACTAGACCAATATATATAATGTATTATGTTTCCCTTACTTTAGCAGTGAACTAAAGGTGAAGAGGAAGTTCATATCAGGTCATTTTATCTGAAGATTCTAAATCGAATCAGGGAAAGGAAGGCACATCACTCAGCGGTAACCACAATATAATGTAATGTATTTTTTTTATATATATAATGGAAGGTATTCAGTTCAGGTAATTCTGCTGGTCAACAACTAGTAAATATCATTTTGCAATATAACATGTGGAGAAATTAAGTTTAAAAGGAATCAAAATCACACAAAAATCTAAAAAAAAAAATGTCGTCAATTGACATGACTCAGAGATAAATTCTTCTAAACTATTTTTCATAAGGGAATATAATCCATAATATACGATGCTTATAATAAAATGCACATGAGGTTGAGGAGCAAAGGTCAAACCAAGATACCCAAATAAAATAAAATTAAATCAGAAACATTAGAGGTGCTTTCTCAATCCATGCATGTCCAGAAACATTAGAGGTGCTTTCTCAAGTTTTTTTTTTTTTTTTTTTTTTCGAACAATATGAAGAAGAGTTATTTCAGTAACTATAAAAAATGAACTCAATGATCAGGCTGGGAGCCCACATAGCGCATGCTAAAGGTGAGCAATCAGATTTGTTTACATAAAGTTTCCAATCAAATGTCATTCAGGAGGGAGATCATGAGAATATGACTTTACAAGGACCACGAACTGAATTGATATTTATCACTCGCAACTCACACTTACAACGAGAAAAGGTGATCATCGTGACTTTAAATAAAGTCCATGAATAAACCATGAGAGAAACATAAGGACCTTACTAACGCCTATAATTTCACATAATACATGTATAACTACCATTCACTCATCGTCATAAATGTATTGATCAAGTTTATATACAACGTCTTCAGTGACAACAATTTAGAGTGAGGGGACAATATTATCTTCCGCACTGTTATCGCAATCAAGCACTAAGGTTGCTCAGTGATGATGAAGCATATTGCATTCAACACTGGAAAGGATAAAGATGCCCACAAAGCCACAACCCACTTATCCTCCTTCCCTAGTTTCCTTAAAATGTCCAACACAACTACAAACAACAATTAGACCACTAATAATATTTGCATTAGCAAGAAAGTTAAACGTATACCTGCAGCTGGTCGGAAATACATGGTATCCTTCAAATTGGAGAAACCTATTTCTTGAGTCTTCTTTACGAACCAATTGAGAACATTTTGTTTGGACAAATCTTTCGGTGTATTCCAATAGCCACGCACACACAAGGCATCCGGAACCGAGATGAGCTAAAACCTTTAAATCGTTAGGAAACTTACAAAGAAAAATGGAAAAATAAAAAGGCATGCATTACATATATTATGTGCAAGTCTTTAGGGCTTAGGTCTGCTGCACACCACTGATATTGAGTTTGTATTGCGTAAAAGAGCATATGTTCCCCAAGCCAAATCTGCCTTCTTGTCATCATTCACATCCTCTGACATGATAAAAATTTGCTCAGCTCCTTCTGGGATGATTTTCTGGTCAGTTGGAGTGGCTCCCTGTACAGCCAGGTAAGAATTTTACATCACTTACATTCTCACACAAAAATTCATTATCTACTTCAGCATCTGTATGGAAGTCCAACTCATTATATGTCACAGCAACATCAAAATTTGATACATAAAGTTTAAACATTAGTGAAACGAATTTACTAAATATAAGTACTATTCTTCAGAAGTTCTGTGCTGAAAAACTCTTAACCAAGAACAACTAATCCTCTTTGCAACAAGTAGGATATTTCGGGCAGCCGTGACCAATCCTATTAACAGCTTATACATGCACAGTGATCCCAACAATCAGCATATATCAAACAGGGTATCGGAAAATTACTAAAACCCCTCTGCAGCTAGTTTTCAGGTATTTGCCAATTGCAATCCATTCGCGACCATAATAACACTTGCAAACTATAAATAGTCCGTCAAAACCTCATTTTTGCTTCAAAGGCCCAAATGGGACTAAAAATTTTACTACCTTCAAGAACTTTCCCAGATATGGAACAATGGCAGAGAATGCGGCCAAAGAAAGTCCCAATGCCTCCGTTCTCTATAAAGTACAACAAAACACAACCATTAACATTATCTAAAACAGCACATTCCATGCTTTAAGAAACCCCAATTTGAGCAAGAACCCGAAAAAGGGGGGGAAAGGAAGAAAGAAGAACATTTACCAGCTGAGCTGCAGTAGTGGATGAATAATCCGAGCCCACAAAATGATTCAACACTAAAAGCGCCCCAAATGCATAACCGATGTATCTGGGCAAATAAGATTCGTCCAATCCAGGTATCCCTAACGCCACGAGATAGAAATTAATCGACAAATGAAAATTGCTGCGAATGACTGCACGAGGACACGCCCAAGTGAAGAAGAATATGTATGTACCTAGAGTGAATCGAAGGACGGACAGGTTAAGCTGTTGTTGGGGCGTGTTGTTCCGCGAGCAACAAATTTTGGCGAGCGAAGACGAATGCTTGTTAGGGGTGAATTTCCATGAGAAGCTGTGTTTGGCACGAAATTTGAACAGAATTGAGGGGTGTAGAGAGAAAGCCGCGGTGCTCATTTGGTTGTTTTGTGATGATGGAAAATAAATTGATCTTTGTCAAAGTTCATTCAACATTATTTTGTCGAGCTCCAGCCCCTCCACTTAAGCGACCCAAACTCGAGAACGAGTCGAACTTAAAAAAATTATATACAAATTTTTATTTTTGAGCCATAACGAGTCAAGCCGAAACACGTTAACTAAACGATCTTTCAATAAGCTCAAACTGAGCTCGTTTATCTAATAAATGGAGCTAAACTCAAGCTTAAACCAAGCAAGTCGAGTTAGTGCATATGATAAGGCCAATGCAGGGCCCTCCAAACCTCAACTGTTCAGGCACGGCACCTTGGGGAAAGCGGTTGGTGCTCGTCCCAAAAGTAAATGTCCACCCACTGAGGCCACCATCTCCTCCTTCGCACCCCACTATTCTTATCATGGATCACCAAATAGCCATCTCCCACGTTCATACACATCCCCCCACCCTGGACCACGTGGCGGTCGTGCACGTCCCCAACCGTTATACCTGGCCACACCCGATCACAAACTCAGAACACGGCTAAACGTCCCCGCCCCCTGTTCTATCCTCTCTGCGACGAGCACCTCAAACGCACGTCCTGACCCCCATTAACAAACCCCACTCCACACGATCCCCTCTTAACGAATTTCCTTTTGCCATCAATAAATTCGAGAAATTTCAGGCGCGAATTGCATTCATTAGAGCAAAATTACGAAGAAATCGGTTTTCAGGCATGCCGGGGCAAGATATTGAGAGCAGCAGGGCGCATAAGGGTGGAAATAGGTCGTACGCGTCCGCGAATGGGGAGAGGAATTGGGTGTCGTGGCTGATCCCGCTGTTCGTGGCGGCTAATGTTGTGATGTTTGTGGTCGAGATGTATCTCAACAACTGCCCGAAGCATGTCAGTAGAAGGAGCGGTTCGAGGTTTGGGGATTACGAGGATAGGTGTGTGGCGAGGTTTCTCGGGAGGTTTTCTTTCCAGCCCTTGAGGGAAAATCCTCTGTTCGGGCCTTCGTCTTCGACGTGAGTGAATTTTGCTTCTTTAGTAGCCCTCAATTGCTTGTTTTTTTCTTTTTTTTTCATTTCTGATGTTAAATACTGGGTTTTGGGTTTCATTGCGTAAAGATGCGACCTTTTCTTTGTTTATATTCTGTGATGTTAAGTGGGTTTGATAGGGTTTTGTGAGGGGATTGTTTAAGCGTTTGCTATAAGTTGGGGTTTGCTGAATTTTTGTCTGTGTTATAGCCTATATGCCTATACCATATACGTCTAAGCGGGTATTCATTTGTGAAAATACTGTGTCTTTTATGGCACCTTTGTCTTCTTTTCAATGTGGTTGAATTCTTGTGTTTGTCTTGAACATTATCTTATGAGATTACATGGGAATTTTTTTTTTTTTTTTTTCGGGTTTTGTTATGTCTACCGTCAACATCTTACAGGGGAATTACTTGTGTATTAACTGTCAAGTTAACTGGAAATAACAGAAAAAGGTCGAAACTTGGGCGCCATTTTGACAATAATGATACAACCTAATTTAAGGCAGTCCAATGTTCTTTGGTGATATTTATTGATCTAAAACCTTTTTCTTTTTCCCCACTGAAGATTAGAGAGATTGGGTGCTCTTAATTGGAATAAGGTGGTCCATCAGCATCAAGGATGGAGGCTCATCTCGTGTATCTGGTTGCATGCTGGCATCATTCACTTGCTTGCAAATATGCTGAGTCTTGTCTTCATAGGCATTCGCCTCGAGCAGCATTTTGGATTCGGTAAGTGCTATCATAACCCCAAAAATACTGAGAGTGAAAAACTCCATTTAAATCGATCTTTTCATCATGTGTTTCTCTTGTTCCCTATTACCAATTTTCTGATTTGTCTTCACAGTGCGTATCGGCATAATCTACCTGTTATCCGGACTTGGCGGGAGTGTATTATCCTCCTTATTCATACGAAACAGGATATCGGTTGGTGCATCGGGTGCACTATTCGGGCTTCTTGGTGCCATGCTGTCGGAGTTGATTACTAACTGGTCCATATATACAAACAAGGTGGGGTTATTTATAACTAATATATTCTCTGTTATTTAATAATAATAAAAACAATCTATCCTATATTCTCTTATTATATTTGGTAAAGTTTCATGTTGTGTATGAACCTTGCAGGTTGCTGCACTATTGACACTATTGGTGATAGTCGCGATTAACTTGGTTGTTGGTATTTTGCCCCATGTGGACAATTTCGCCCATATTGGAGGATTTCTGACCGGATTTCTTCTTGGTTTTATTTTACTGCCTCGTCCCCAGTTCGGGTGGGTAGAACGACACAATCTTCCGGCTGGTGCTCGTGCGAGGTCCAAATACAAGGCCTACCAGTATGTGATGTGGCTGGTTTCTCTTGTACTACTTTTCGTTGGGTGAGTTCTTTTCTTTCCCTCTTATGAACAATTATTGTTAATTTTATAGTTTTTAAGCATGAGAGGACAAAGATATAATGAGAATAATACCTCTTGGAAATACAGGTTTGTTGTGGGGCTCGTGTTGCTGTTTAGGGGAGTAAACGGATACGAGCGTTGCCACTGGTGCCGGTATGCGAGCTGTGTTCCCACATCGAAATGGAAGTGTGATGAAGATTAGGTGATTTCTTAGTATGGCTTATGGTTCCATTTTCTTCTTTAGGCTGTAAATGCAAGTTGAGTAGTTTGGTGTAGGTTTGTTTGGATTATTGGTTTGGTCGGGGGATTTGTTTGTCTGTTGATGTCCTCTGTTTATTTCCACAGTTATGAGAAAAAGCAATGTATTTGAGTTCGTCTCTCATTAGTAATAGATGTTAGTTGTTATTTTAGATGGTGTGCAAAAAGGGCTTTAAGCTGCTTACTGCAGAAGGCCCTAATTGAGAAACATTAGTACAATTACCAACAGCATTAGTGAACTATTAAAGAATCTAGGTTTTTGTAATCCATATTCCATCGTATTTTTTTCTCAAGATCGGGATTTTTTTTTAATCGTGTTTTTTTTATTGAAAAAAAAATAATATAAGATTCATGAAGGGCTTTTAGTACGGACTTGGCACGTAGATTAATATTTAGGTTATATGTGTGGGGGTGATGTGGGTAAGCATAAGAGTGGAGAAGATAACATAGTTCAATCTTAAATACAATGTTTTTATTTAATGTCAACTGCCCAACATACAAGAGAATGAGTCCTTTAAAGAAAGTTCTTACAACACTAATAATAACTTGTCTAAACATAAATGAAATAATATAAAGGTAAATGAAAATAAATATATACCCTAAATCAATAATGCTAGACGATATTTCTGTCTCCCATCATTCTCCTCTGACAAAAAAGATTTACTGTCGAATCTGGTACATTCTGTCTTCAACTGGCAAGACCATACCCATGCTCGGTTATCGTGAATAGATCCACCACAGTTGAGCTATTGAGGAAAAAAGTTACGATCCCATTGTCGACCTGCAATCTTGGGGCTGTGGTCGCAGTCAGAAAATATTGTCCATCTGGTGATATTCACTCGACACTGATAGTTCAACTTTTGTTTCTCCTAATTTCTTCATTGCTAAATAATCCGAGAAAGCCATGTCACCGGGTAAATTCTCAAAGTCTGCCAAACATGTAAATCTCCCTTTTAGATTCCCCCCAATTATATTATATAGGCCCATCATAGGCTCTAGTAAAGGATTAGACTTCTTGTCATACATCGTCGTCGGGGCAGACATAAATCTATAAACTACAGCAAATTCTATTATGGGAGACGACCATTGAACATCCTTCGCTACGCTCCACGACATGTGCAACAAACATTAACAAAGAATGACGAGGGAACGTGGAGCCCATATCCCCGCAAAGATGTTCTTCCGTCTGGGGCCTACTCGTCGACAATCAACGGACCGTTGTAGAAACCACCCGCATTGGAGTCGCCAACCTCCTCAGTGAATAATGCGCGCAATTCTCTGAAATCGCGAGCCCGCGTCGCCGAACGCCGTCCCAGCCGGCACCCTCGGCGACTCAGCCTCCCGAAACCCGCATAGCCCCGACGCAAATCGCAACCACCAAACTCATCGAAGCCGTCGTCTTCACGTCACACCTCACAATCCCATAAGCCGGTGAAACCTTCATCCCAACGTCACGAATCGTGACCCTAGTAGTCTTCATAACCCTCTATTTTGCGATGCGCCGTGCGACCCCCGATGTCCTCGAAATCCACGTCTGGTCGCTGCTGCTCGCGATAGCGACCATCGCGGAACTCATCGGCCTCCTGCTGGGCTCGACGACCACGAAACGAGTTGATGGCGGACCAGGTATTTTCGTCGTCTTCCTCGCCATACAGAGGTGGTGGGGACTACTGGCAAGGCTCCTCACCAAAGCCTCGTATGCCAAGCCCACCTCTGAAACCCCTGCGACCACCCCAGTCCCCGGCCATGTCGCGGTTCGTTTGCTCGTGAGAAACCATGGTATGGAGAGTTAGAAGATGTCCCCAATCTTCGCGACAGATCTACAATTCGACGACCCATGTCTCGAGCAAGCGGCCAAACCCCTCGGCCTAGCGGCTCAAGTTGTAGATGGCAGTGTCACTCCTGTCATCTACAACATCTTGTATTTGCGGCAGTTTTGTGAATCGTGCTGACTTCTGACACCAACTGATATAAGCGTACGATGAGAAAAGATAAAAGAGATCCAATCTCAAATTCGATGTTCTTTATTCAATTGAATGAGTCATTTAAATAAGCCTCCTACAACCCTAATAATAACTTGTCCACTGAGCAAGCTAATAAATAATTATTCTCTTACAAATTAAATACTAAACATAAACGGAAGAATATAAAGATAAATAGAAATAAATATATATCCTAAATCAATAATGTTATACAATACTTCGTCTTCATCTATGGGGAAGGTGAGAAATTGAAAATATTGCAACTTTTGGGGTTGGGGGTCGTTTGTTTATAGAGTACGCAAACGTGTAAGAATGTAGAAATTAGAAGCAGAAGCGACAATAAATAAATTTGTCCTTGGGACAATTACTCTTCAAAGTTCTTTCATTAATAAATAGATCGCGCACACTATAATATAGTTTGAGATTATAAGTAAAGAATTCTTTCTTAAACTCTAACACTATACCCGAAACTACTAACTATTTCTCGACCACAACATGGACTAACAGCTATATTGGAATCCCTCCAAGCTAATGGCAGTACTTATCCTTAAATACACAAGTGTACGAAAAAAGAAAAGTTTACTTTAGAGATGCAAGAACGCAAAACTGAATTTATGAAAAATAAAAAAATAAAAAAATGGATGCAAAATTCGAGACTGGTTTGGATCTTGAAAACGGGAGTCTCAACATGTGTGGCATTTCAAACTTTATTGAAATGTACTCCGCCAAGAAATGTATTACACATTTGATATATACTACTCCTATTATACTTGTGATGGCAAATAAATTACACGGCTTGTCTGTTTCCACTTTCCACCTAAAACTTGTCTTTTGTTACTCGAATCATTCATTATTGATTTTATTCTATGGTAAGACCCATACCAAATCATTACAAAGAGCACATTTTTCTTACAACAAATCCCAAAATAGATCAACTAATCACAGTTCACCATCAATAGGCTCACTCACGATTTGTTTAAGAGCCAATGAAAACAATAACCCCCCTAAAAAAGCCAAAAATAAAAATAAAAAAAACTAAAATAACAACAACAAAAAGACACACTAAAAACCATCATATTTTGAGTAGCTTTAAGACTGTTGACCAGAACTAGCTGGGGCTGTCCAGTACAATTTGACTGCAAAAAGAAGCTTTTCCCTCTCTAATGGCCCATCCTCATGATCCACAATCCGACTCTCCCAATTCAAATCATCTGCTATTTTCTTCACCTTCACCAGCTCGTCCACGTCGTCCCTCATTATCAAACTCCCTTCGGGTCGTAAAATCCGATCCATTTCGAGCAATATATCCTCCATTTCACACCTACACTCCCAATTAGAAATGGATTTGATTTGAATTTTTGCTAGTAAATACATTGAATATATATGTATATATAGTTGTATACTCACCGGTCTTTGTAGAGTGTAAAAAGCGAGTCGGCATGTATGAGATCGTACGTTCTAGGGTAGGTCGACATTGCCTCACACCTCAAAAACAAAACGATTAACAGATCAAATCACATATGTTAGAATCGATCGAAAAAAGATTAAAAGACATGAGATAATCGGAAAAAAAAAGGGTGAGTATTTTTTTAACACGTATATATACCAGCTTTGGTATGTCCCAATTAATCCACGTTCGTAGATAACACCAAGCGTGTTAACCTTGGCCTCAATCGGGACCACGTTCATCACCCACACCGGATCCTCGATCAAATTAGCCGCAAACCCGCCCAAGAACGAATTCATGTCGAGAATGTTCCGGTACCTTCCTGCTTGCCCAAGCTGATTGTTGACCGATTTATAATACGACACTCTCTTCTTCCACAATCGCGTGTCGTGTCGAAAAGTCTCCGAGTTGACTCCTTTTATGGTCCCCCTACTAACCCTAGGCGGTATTGCGTTCAGTCTTTTAGGCCATTTTTCGAGCTTCCCTCCGGAGATGTCCTCGCTGGCAGACACTTCGGGTAAGGGAGTCAAACACGTTTCCAAATTCGTGTACCTGTAATTTATTAAATCAAATAAGGAATTCATAAAAAGTCCACGATCTTTTTCGAATTTCGATTGATTAGCTCACCAAGCTTTGTCGGGATCCCGGGCGGGGCAGAGTGCGGGTTTCTTGTGCACGGTTTTTAACTTTTTGCACTTCAAGTGGTTGTAGGGCTTTTGCCATATGGCGATGTCATTCTTCTCGACCAACTTCTTCCAACACAAGCTTCTTGTAACGTTCTCGATCTGCATTTGCTCGGCATTTAGATCTTCCTTCGACCTTTCCCACCCTTTCCAATACTTTCTCCAATTGATCGGTGGGCCCGACAGGATCCAGTACCCTCCCGGACGTAAAACCCGATCGACCTCAATTAAATAGGCGCCATCTATTTTCGAGCACAACAATGAGAGGCCAACATTAATTAAAACAATAAATAGAATTGGTTGATCCATTTTTTTTTCCTCTTCATTAATTACAAAAAGCCAAATCATCGAGTTTTCGTCGAATCCGATCGACTGATGGAAAAGTGTTAAAATTACCATATTGACCCCAAGGAATGAGGCAACGGGAACAATGGGCCATGTCGAAAGCTCGGGAAGGGTAAGGGAGTCTTTTAGAGGCAATCACACCAATAAGTGCCGGGACACCTCGTTCGAGAGCGAATTGCACCTGTGCTTCGTGCGTGTCTCTCGGCGCAAACGACATTGTAAGGATATTTCGCGACATTAGATAGGCTCCCCAGCTGGCAACCTGCACAATTTATAGCATTTATTAACACAAAATCAGTAGAAACAGAGAACTCAGATCCAACTCTAACATTAATGTTCAAATATATGAATAACATGACTTGGGAAGAGTACATAATTACAGGTACAGTTTTGCTGTGGAGCCATCGGATGGCTCGGCTTATGGAGCCATCCACAGTTATTCACAAATAGTGTATTGACATGTGTCCTACAATAAATGCACTTTGGA